AGTGGTTCACCGTCAGCAACGGACGTTCGAGGGACGCGGTTGAAGCTATGGAACTGCACCCGAAGATTCTGCCCCCAGCGGTTCGCTGGACCGGGGTGATCGATGTTGGTGGACCTTCGGGTATGTCGCTACGAGCTGCGACCTTGCCGCTCTCAGGTGATGTGATTCAGATCACAGGTCTTTCAGATGATGTTTCTGGTCGTGTGACTGTTTATGATGCTCAGGTTATGGGGCTTATGCTGTCGATTGACGCGTCTTCGGTTGTTGTGGCCAGGGGTCAGCTTAGCGTGAAAGATTTGTGTGAGATCAAAGAACTGTGTAGTGGCATTGCTTGCATTTCTATGGGAGCGGCACACATAGGAGGCTGGGCTGTGGGAGCGTTAGATGTGAACCATTTAGCAATTTCGCACCTCAGAGACAATGGGCATCCCAACCCTGTCTTGGGCTCAGTCCTGAAAGACAGTGACATTTGCCGCATGCACCTGATGAATGGAGCGAGGAGAGGCACTCTGTCAGCAGGCTTTCCATGCCAACCTTTCTCCAAGCAGGGTGACTCCAAAGGCATGGGAGACAGCAGAGCAGCAGTGTTCATGGGGGTTGCTCGGGCCGCATGGCTCATGCAGCCAGGGCTGATCCTGCTGGAGTGCGTGGTTGAAGCTGGAATGATTCCTGAGATCAATTTGACCCTGGCACAGTTAGCAGAGGGATTGGGCTTTGGCATTCGCACCATTGAACTTGCCTTGGAAGATCTGTGGCCTTGCCGACGTCGCAGATGGTGGGCAGTGATCACCTCGCCCACTTGGCTTCCCACTAGCTTGAGATCCTGGCCCAGCTTTTCATTTCCAAAGGTCAGTGATGTGATTCCAGTGTGGCCCACATGGCCAGCGCATGAAGAAGATCAATTGGAGTTGAACGGAGTTGAGCTGCATGCCTTTCATGAACCTTGCTTTGGTTTGGAAGATCGAGTGCTTCAGACCAGTGGTGTGGCACCTACTTTCCTCCACTCCTATGGGAGTCAATTGTCAGGGTGTCCATGCAAATGCCGCAGTCAAGGTCTCAGTCCTGAACGGCTGGAACGGGCAGGATTGCGTGGGGTTTATGTTCACTCTCAAATGAGTGGCATGCCTCGTTGGCTTCACCCCCGTGAACTGGCAGTTCTTCAGACCGTGATGCCTGACATGATCTTCAATGATGATCTTCGTGCAAGCTTGGTGATGTTGGGGCAGATTGCAGCACCGGCTCAGGCCCTTTGGCTGCTAGCACAGATTTGGTGTCCTTTGCTCACGGACTTGCCATCTCCGGAAAAAGCCCTCAAGAGCTATCTGGATGAGCTGCTTCGTCGACGGTACCATGTCTTTCCTCCCCAGGCAATTCCTGATCGTCAATTGACTCATGTCTGGAGTGACCTTGGCAGTGAACTCATAGCATCGACAGGTGTCCACAAGGTGGAAGATTTCCTGGCGGCGGAATGTAGAGCACTTTCTTGCACAGAAGTCTCACTTGTTGATGATGGAGCCAGATTGCATGGTCTTGCTGTCCTGCACTCGTCGGGGCAGACTGGTGCGTACACGATTGCTCGCACCGAAGCCTCAAATCTTGTTGCGCCAGCAAAACTGGTTTTGGTGAAGTTGATCTCGGAGGGCATGACTTGGCAGACTCTGTTGTACTCAGGCAGCTTTCTCTTTGAAGCCTTCTGGCGTTTGCGCCTTCAGGTAGAGCCAACTAAGTTGTATGATGATCACGATGGTTGCTGGTTCCCTGACTCACGGGTCTGGGAGGATGTCACTTTGATGGATGTGCCAGTGCTCACTAGTGCCGGACCTCTGGACACAGGAGTGCTTTACCAGCAGCCTCAAGATGACATCACAGGACCTCAGCTCCAACGTGCTATTGACGGCTTGGCCTTGAGACCATCTGGACCTGATGAGTTTCTTCTTTCAGTGGCTCATGCGCAAGTGCTGGTTCAAGCTCCGTTGCACCTTCCGAGTGCAGTCCTTCACCGTTGTGGCCAATGCCTGGTATTCCATGGAGTCTTTCATAGCTGTGGTCATTGGGCCATGTTCTCTTGTATTCGTGCAGCAGGAAAGGTTGAAGTTCATTACTTTGATGGTGTAATCCACCTGCTGGATCATGAAATGCGGGCAGTTGGGGCGTGGGCAAGTCGACTCTGGCACCTTGATCAGGTTGAGGTGATCTTTGCAAGAACGGTTGTGCAGCCTCAGCCACATTTGAGTGCAGCAGTTGCCTTGGCTCACCTTCGACAAGTATGCTCCCTTTTGAGTGCACCTACCTCTGCAGATCTGGAGCAATGGCATGAATGGTTGATGGCACCTTTGCAAGAGGATGCCTCCTCTATGGAGGTCGATGTCATTCCGGCCGCAGAGGGAGTTGACTTGTTGGCTATGGCTAGATTTGCTGATCACCTCATGACAGAAGCCACAGGAGAAGTGACTCTCATGCCTGTTCTCTATAGTGTTGCCTTGGGCCATGGCAATGAAGAGGAGGCCACAGCTTTCTTGCAGCGACAGCTTCCGTTAACAAAGTCGGTGGCACTCCTTGTTGAATCGGCACATCACTGGCTCCTTCTGGTGATTCATGACTCCATGGGCTGGATCGATGTTGATTATTATGATGGCCTGCCTCATGCACATGATCAGGTGGTGACCTCAATCGCTCGCTGGGCTCAAGAATTGTTGATGGCCAGAGGGTTTGTGATCAATTATGTCACTGCCTTGACTCAACAGCAGCATGACCACTGTGGAGTGATTGCGCTAGCCCACCTAGCGATGATCCTTCGGCCGGAGGAGGATTGGACTCAATCAGCACTCACTGACCTTCATTCTCTTCTTCAGGACTCATGGGAGGTGTCTCATTCAGTATGGGCTTGTGGACCTGATGGTTCTGAACAGCGCCTTGTCCAGGAGGTGGCCGATTTGCTGATCTCCAAAGGTGTACCGAAAGAACGTGCCTCCGAACGAGCGCTAGCAGGCATCTCAGCAGTTGGAGAGGCAGCCATGGTGAAAGCTATGCGCCAAAAGCATCCGTGGGCTGAGTTGAAGCAACTTGGCTCCATGCCCTCAGTGCGCTTCCAGTGGGTGAAGGCTGATGAGCTCATGAAACAGGTTCGAGCCCGGGCTGAAGAGAATTATGGTGTGTCGGCTGCAACCCGCAAGCGAGACAATCGACGAGAAAGAGCTGAACCTCAACCTCTTCAGATCCATCCGTCTCAATTGAGCTTGATTGATGGCTCCTTTGTTGACTCTGAGGGCAAGGCCATGCAGCAGATTCAGTTAGCTGATGTCACGAGCCAAGCCACTGGAGTCGCCTTCGCGACAGTTGCTGAAGCAGGTCCCTATCTCAAGGAGGGCAAAAGCTTGAGTTTGTCTCCACTAGCGCTGCTGACCACCTCGCAGATTCCACATGATCTCATTGGCTTGCTTCCGGTGGACCACATGCGCTATCCTGTGTTGTACCAGGGCACTCAAGAGCCAGTTCTGGTACAGGGTTCCCTAATTCAGCTGGGTGATGAAAATGTTAGTCGTCATCATGATTCCAACCCTCCGAATTTGGATGCCCTGCCTACAGCCACATTGCGACTGTTGATCTTCAGAGATGAGTTTGAACAGTCTGGAGGCAACTGGGCATCTTTTTGCCAAGGTCCATTGCGACAGATGTTCCAAGTGATTCCCGGCCTGACAATCTGTCGAGGAGAAGCATGTGGTGGTGATTGCTCCCGGCATCATTGCCCGGTGGATCAAGACTATGAAAGCCTGCTTACTGACATTTGGGAACGAAGATGGTCCCGTACAGATGGTGGTGGTCGGGTCAAGCCAGAAGATGCCGGGCAGTTCTCCGTCCTAGCTCGCGTGGTCAAATCAGCTGCTGAGCAGGTTCAGAATCTGTCTGGACAACGTGGTTTCTACGTTGAGCCTCGGCAGGAAGATGGTAAGGGGCCAGCAGCTGGCTATGGGGTCATTTGGTTGAATCAACACAGCCTTCGTGATGCTGAACACAAGAGGAAAACCGTTGATGGAGCAGTTGCCTTGGTCCGGTTGGGCCAGCGTTGGGGACTTCGGTTCAAGGATGGTGATATGGCGACAGCTTTTGCTGAGCTCCGACCTCATGAGACGTACATGAAGGTTCAGGTTCAAGAGATCTACTTGATGCATCCTTTGCCGCATGGGACTACAAGAGCAGGCTTGGTCAAGTGTTTGAAGTCCTGGGGCTGGGCAGCGAAGCCGCTGCAACCGGTGCGAGGAGGCCCTGAGGGAGCAGGATGGCATGTTGGTAGTGGGTCTCCGCCACCAAGTGCAGTTTTGCAAGGGGCTCATGGAGATGTAGTGGTCACCAAAGTGCGCTCGGTTGTGAACACCAAGGAGGCTCCCAGCATTTTGGGCTCATTCAAAACGAAGGCACACCTCAGATCTCAGTCCAAGACACCCTTGCCCACGAAGGTGTCGTCCAATGCAAGTGCGTCAAAAGACCCTTGGCTTCAGCAAGATCCATGGCAGTCATTCAAGCCAACACAGCCCCGATCCACTGGACCTGACATCACAGCTCCGGCCAAGCAGAAGTTGGAGGAGGTGGAGAAGAAGCTCCGAGATGACATGAAGTCAGTGGTTCGCAAGGAGCTTGAGGACCATGCAGCCTGTTCTGAGGATGCAGCCATGCAGAATTCTTGGGATGCTGATGTGAGGCTCTGCAGGCTGGAGAGTTCGCTGGGTGAGATCAAGGCGCAGAATGCTCGATATGACCAATGGTTCGAACACCAAGCACAAGTCCAGATTGAATTGAATGGTCGGGTTGAGTATCTTGCTCAAGATCTCCAGTCCCAGAAGCAGCAGGTGGAGGCTCTGGATCAGGCAGTCCACAAACAGGGCAATGACACCCAGTCTTCCTTTGTCTCTCTGGCCGAAGACATGCGCAAGGGCTTTGCACACATTGAAAGTATGTTTGCCACTCATGCACAGGACAAGCGGCAGCGCAAGGTGAGCGAAAGCCCACACAAGGGAGAGTGACTATTGCAGCCAGGAGCTCCTGCTCGGTGCCGCAGGGGATTGCCTGGGAAGTTTCGGTTTGGCACCTCATTAGCTTGCTGGGTTCTTCGCTACCTCACGTTGGGAGTGCTTTGTGTTGCGGAGAGCCTTGAGGGCCTGGGCTACTCTGGCCCGGCACATGTTCCTGTTGGGGGTGACACAATGGAGACATTTCGTTGTGACGTTCATGGGATGGAGTTTGGTCGCAGGAAGGGCCGAGGCTCTGGAGGGTCCTTTGCCCGCATCAAGATTGACAGCACGGATGGGCCTTCTGGTTCATACTGTGGTATTGGGTCGGGGATCCGAAAGAGTTCTCGCTCTTCTTGGTGGCCTGCATGGAGGTTCAGGTTGGGAGAAGCACAGCACCCAGGACCTGTTGAGTCTGATGAGGATGATCTTTTCTGCATTGGGACTAGTAATCCTTCGGGGCTGCATGGCAAAGAGCATGTCTTTGGTTCCTTGCCTTGTGGAATTTGGGGTGTGGCAAAGACACATTTGAGCTCTGCAGGAATGGGCCCTGGTTTAGCCAGATTGAAGCGAATAGGATTAGCACATGGCCGTCACTGGAGGCTCCACCCTGGCGCCCCGGTGCCTTTGCGAGCTCGCTCTAGCATTGCAGGTACATGGGCTGGAGTGATGCACATCAGTGATTGGCCAGGGCGATCAGTACATGTTCCCTGGCCTGAAGGACAGTACAGTGCAGGCCGAGTTGCACTTTGTCATCACTGGGTCGGAAGTCTAGGTGTTTCCGGTGCCATGATCTATGGATGGAGTCCGGGGCCTACATGGCCACAGGCGAGGTGGCACACGAACAGATTGCTTCAGAGTGTCACCGAACAGCTTGTCCTGCGACGAAGTGGATGTCGCTATGTCATGGGGGACTTTAACCATGATGAGGATCAGCTGGAAGCTATACAGGTCTGGAAATCCCTGGGGTGGGTTGAGGTGCAAACTCTTCATCTCGAGCGGCATTGTGAGCCCATTCGCATGACATGCAAGGGCAAAACCAAACGTGATATGATCTTTGTCAGTCCTGAACTTGCAGCTTTGTTTGTTTCAGCAACTGTCAGGGATTCCTTCTCTGACCATTCGGTGGTGTGGGGCACTTTTCGATGTCAACGGCGTTGTACCCCACATTGGATTTGGCCACTCCCACGACCAATTGACTGGAAGGAGGTGGACTTGAAAAGTTGGCAGACACAGTTTGCGGGGGATGATGTGATGCAAGTTGAGGGGCTTGATGGCACTCAGAGCTTTGAACGCTGGGCGAAGTCATATGAGACTAGCTTGCAAGGTTTTGTCACGTCCTCCAGCGAGGGTCTTCACCCGAGTTCCACGGGGAGGGGCCGTGTTCAGAAGCCAGTTCTTCAGCGACCTCAAGGACCTTTGAGCAGACCAGCACGGCATGGGGAGGAACGTCTCCTGTCAGACTTTGCAGGCCGTGGGGTACAGCTTTGGTTCAGGCAGCTTCGTCGATTACAAGCTCTGGTTCAAAGCCTAAGATCAGGCAACACATCGGGTTCGGCTCAAGCACATCGACTTGAGACATGGGTAGCAATCTGCAATGCCTCAGGCTTTCAGAAAGGGTTTCGTGTGTGGTGGACTGTGAGATCAGTGAAATTGCAAGGGACGCCAGCACTTCTGCCAACCGGGGTGCCATCTTTGCAGGTTGCTGAACACTTGTTTGCTGATTTTCGGGCCAATTTCCGACGGTTTGAGACGTGGCAACTTCGCCGACAAGTGGAGATCTCTAGGACCCAACTGGCGACTCATAAGGAACAGGTCTTTCAGCGAGTTCGCTTGCATCAAAAAGACTATCTGGATTCATTGGCCACAGTTGAGGAGACATCAATTCTGGCCATTTCACCTGATGGGACTGAACTACATTTGGAACAAGCCATAGGAGAGGGGTTGCATGATTGTCAAATATGGTTGGCAGATGGGATGGCTGAAATCAAGCTGGAACGAAAAGAGGGAGAGGCGTTCCGTGTGATAGATGCAGACTGCTTGCTTGTGCCTGACCAGAGCATTGTGTGTCAGAGCTTCTGTACCCGAGTTGACACCATTCAGAAGGTTTTGACTGATTTCTGGTCGGCTCGTTGGCGAAAGCATGCAGAAACCCAAGAAGGGGATTGGAGGAGAATCCTTTCATTCGGCCGTGCATATTTGCCTTGTCGCAAGCTTGACTATGAAGCCATTTCCCTGCATGCGTGGCAGCATGTGAATGCCCGCTATAATGACAGAGCTGCCCGGGGCCCGGATGGGTTTCATGGCCGGGACTTACAAAATGCTCCAGAAGGCCTTCAGAAAGCACTTTTAGCTATGCTGACGGCGGTTGAACTTGAGCACATTCAGTGGCCTGAACAGCTACTGACTGGATTTGTTGCCTGCTTGGCCAAAACTGCAACAGCATCCGAGGTGGCTCATTTCCGTCCAATCATTGTCTTTTCGGCCATATATCGAAGCTGGGCTACAGCCAGAGCGAGACCACTCCTGGCACATTTGGCTGACATGGCCACAGACACTCAGCTGGGATTTTTGCCGGGCAGAGAAGCGCTGCAGATCTCATTTCTCATCCAAGGTCTGGTGGAGCTATGTGTTGGAGTGGGCTCAGACATGCAAGGCCTTGTCACAGACATCCAGAAAGCCTTTGAGAATATTCCTCGACTCCCTGTCTTCAAGCTGGCAGAACATATTGGTGCTCCAACACCAATCATACGGGCATGGGATCACTTCCTGCAGAGCATGACTCGGAGATTCGTTGTGAGAGGAGAGATAGGACCGCCCTTGGACTCGACTTCTGGCATGCCGGAAGGCTGTGCCATGAGCTGCTATGCCATGGGCATCATCGACCTTTGCTTTCACTTCTACATGCACCACTTTGCACCCGAGACACTGCCTCTGTCATTTGTTGACAACTTGGGGTTGCTGAGTACCGAGGTAGCGCATTTGCAACATGGTCACATTGTGCTGCAGGAGTTTCTTCATCTCTGGAAGCTTGATATGGACCTCCGAAAGTCTTGGACCTGGTCTACTAGGACCAGTGACAAAGGAGCACTTGAGGTCCTGGGCTTGGATGTCAAGGCCAGTGCTGGTGACTTGGGGGTGCAACATAGTTACACGGGAGCTCGCAGGATTGATGTGCAACGTGCTCGATTGGCATCGTTGGATGATCTCTGGGTACGCCTTCGCAAGATGGGAGCAGATGATCGTCTCAAGTATATGGTGCTTCAGCAGGCCTTCTGGCCCAGAGCGCTGCATGGTGTGTCCATTTGCCTGTTGGGCCCAGCTCACCTTGCATCGCTGCGCACGGCAGCTGTCAAGGCATTGGCGCATGGTGCGGCTGGGGCCTCCCCATTGATTCGTATGTCGCTCATAGCCCCGGTGAAAGCAGACCCTGGCTTCTATCAGACAGTGCGAGTTCTCACAGACTTTCGTCGTATGGCAGCAAAACAGGACATGGTATTGGATCTATGGATGCAGCACTTCCAGGGCTTCGATGGAGTCCTCAGAGCTGGCCCTTTCTCCAAGCTGCTTGAAGTCCTGGAACCCCTGGGATGGCGGATTGTGATGCCTCCATACGTGTGCAACCACCATGGGGTTGAAATTGACCTGTTGAGCATGCCGGAAGCACAGCTGCTGTCACAACTGGAAGATGCATGGCTAGACTGGGTCTCAGGAGAAGTGTGCAACAGAAGAGATTTTGCAGGTTTGATGTTGATCAACTGGGTTGTGGTCAGACGGGCACAACGTCATTTGACAGGACGTCAGCAAGCTCAGGTTGCCTCTCTCCAGGAGGGAGCCTTCTGTACAGCTGTGCAACAGGCCAAATATGACAACTTCACTGCTGTTCTATGCCCCTTTTGCCATGTTCCGGATGACCTTGACCATCGTTGTATGAGATGCACTCAACTGGCAAGCATTCATCAGAAACATGCTGCTATTCGAGCCAGATGGTATGACTTGACGGTGTCTCAACGCCATAGGTTGCTTCCAAACAAATTCCCGGCCTGGAGCCGATATCAACGAGCATTGGGCCCTTTGGAATGTCCACGGTTTCAATTTGAGGCAACTGCACAGATCGAGGGCTGGGTGGACTTGTTCACAGACGGCTCGTGCATGTGTCCTGACATGCCTGAATGTGGCCTTTCAACCTGGGCCATAGTCTCCAGCACGCATGCAATGACAATTTCTGCTGGTATTGTTCCGGGATTTTGCCACTCCAGTGACCGAGCAGAATTGGTTGCACTGTTGGGTGCCATGACGTGGGCGCGACATCATGACGGCCCCACGGCTTGTTGGACGGATAGTGCATATGCTGCAGTGGGGTTCTGGAGGCTTCAGGCCTGGACCTATGACACACCCTATGACTCCAACAGTGATCTGTGGGAGGTTGGGAGAAGGCTGCTACAACAACTCTGCTACCCTTTTGTGGTCCGACACATACCTGGCCACAGGGAAGAAGCAGAGTGTGATGAAGTGGTGCAGGCATGGGCAGCTCACTGGAACACACTAGCGGACAGAGCCGCTGCGGCAGCGTACTCTTGCTACAGTGAGGAGGTGCGCCAGTTGTGGTTTGAGCTGGTCCGTTTTCAAAATGCTGAGCTAAAAACACTTCGTGCGTTGCAAGACCTGCATTGTGACGTTGGCAGTGAGTGGCAGAGACTAGTTCAGCTGCACAAGACAGCCATACAAGAGGTGGAGGCTCTTGAGGAAATGACACCAATTTGTATTCCTCACCACCAGTTAGAGGTTGAAACGCTCCCAGAGGTACTTCCTGTTCACTGGAGCACAGTGGCTCAAACATCTGAGCTCTCTTTTAGTTTTGGCCAATTTGGCGTTCAGCTGCTCCGTTTTTTGGTGGAACAGTCTGATGATATCCAGCCTCCCTGTGCAGTTTCATGGCTGGAATTAGCTTTTTGGTGCCATAGATGGTTTGAAGGAGATCTTCCGGTCCCTGGCACGTGCAAAGGCCAGTGGATACCCTCGAGGTCCAGTAGTAGCTGTTTGAAATCTTCCCAAACTTTAGCGGCGGTTATTCGGTTGGTTCGTGCTTGTGTGAGGGCGTATGCTGTCCGTTTTGATTTTCCTTCTTTGGACATCAGGGGTATTGATCTCAGTGCGGTGGGAGTTGGACCCCCGCAGGCTGGCCTAGCTCTCAAGTGTTCGAACCAGGTCCGCAAGGTGGGGCTTGAGGATATTGGGACGTTTTGCAATCGGAGGCCTATCCGTGTTTGCAATGACCTGGTTCGACCGCTGACAGTTGGTACTTCCTAACATGGGAAGGACTCGACCGACCTGCCCCGCAAGGGGCCAGAACCTGGTGTGGACCGCCTTCCGCTCTTGGGCTGTGGGCGCACACCGACTCAAGTGAGAGTGTTTTTTTTGGGGGTGGGGGCTAAGTTAGGTCAGGCAACTTTTTCTAGAGTATTGTTTGAGCAGCCAACAAAGCACAGCAAGGCTTCAAATGTCTTTGCACCGATTGCTACAAAGAGGGTTTGCTAGTCTCTTCGGGTACAAGGTCAACCCAAAGCATACTCAGCTGGTTGAAGCACAGGAGACTGACCCAGGCATGTTAGCTGAGTACCGTGGCGAATACGGAGCAGCAGTGTTGACAGCAGAAAATGCGACTGACCTACACTACAAAATGAAAGGGGCACGATGCCTGGCACTACTTGAAGGGTTTTACTTGACTATGTTACTTGAAGGGTTGGTATTGGTTTTGGGGTTTAGGTTTCAACAAGTGCAAGTTTATCTAAGGATCAGACAAAGCCTGGAGGTTTCTTGAGAATCAAGCTACTCCTTGTAAGCTCTACCTGGCTGTGACCATTCTCACACCCATTGAGAAAATCCTTCATGCACACTTCTTGTGGCAAGAAAAACAAACATGGCTTCTAAAGAATATGTCGAATACACCAGCTGTCCTCATGAGCAATTTGGCAATGTCGCCAGCGGTTAAAGCAATTGATCGTTTGGTGACATTCCTTTTCAAAGACATCACTGTGGGGGTTGACGCTGCGCAAGATGCCGATTCTGCTTTGCTTCAGTGGTTCCGATATTTGCCTGGAGGCGCACTCATGTTTGATGCAACTATGACTATGACTTGTGACTATGTTATAGACTAGATATTATACACCACATAGTTTATAATTATCATCGATTATATGTGTACATGTGTATAAGTTATGATACATATGATCACATAGTGTTTTGCAATAAACCAAATGCTCATATCATACATGATTCATACGTTCGTATTGTTTGCATCTTTTGACTTGCAGGTTTACCTTGGGTGCCTGAAGATCTTTTGCACATACAGTTTTGGTGTGTCATGTCCATCATTGGACAAACGGATGACCGGCTGGTGAAACCATATTGTCGACAGCCTTGGAATCTCGCTCAGATTGTTGATGAAAGAACACCTGCTGATGAACGGGTCCGTTTTTGCCAGACATTGATGCGAAAGAATACTTGCTGCCTTGAACGTTTCTTTGCCAAACCTGTTGTGGATCAGCTGAAAGCAAACGATGCGGAGTGTATCTTTTCTCCACATGAGATACACCACAAGCTATGTATGGCATTCAGGGTCAAAGTTTCCAATATGGAATTGGAAACAAACTTTGCAAGGTCCAGGCAAATGGCCTTGGCCTGTCGAGGGAAGACTTGCAGCATTCCATCTATGGTGGCAAAACATGTTACTGCAGAAGCCAAGCTCGCACAAAGAAGGTTGGCTGCCATATTCTCAGACAGATCAGCCACCATGGACAAGCCAGACAAAGGCAGGACAGCCTTCTGCAACATGTGGTGTCTTAAGTAAGGATATAGACTTAGAACTGTTTGAACATGTTCTCTCTATCAGTGTGTTTCTGCTGATTAGTGCATTTCATTCCAATTCCAAAGCATTGACTCACATGTGAGGCTACAATGCCCGAAACAATGGCTTCACGTTGTTCTTGAAGCAGTGCTATGAATCTGGCAAAGAATCTGGTTGTGGAGATGAACATTGGTTTGAGAGACGGCAACATATGTTCAATGACGCGCTGGAACAATGGAACTCTGCAAGCCCAACATCGCAGCAGCGAAAGCGTGAAATGTCAGCCAGGGCAAAGCAGCTTAACATGCAGGACAAAGCAGACCGGCTGGAGAATTTGGATGCTCTATCACGACAAGACGAGAGCAACCAGCAAAGAGAGAAACGCATCTCAAGGCTTCAACAATCTGTTGTGAGGGCAGCTTTTCAATCAGGGCTCCTTTGTGACGAGAAACAGACTTATACTGAGGTTGATGTATCATCAAATCATCAACAGTTGCTACCATCAAGCAGCCGACCAGCAAATACAGGTGGCGATGACACAGTTGTGTCTTGTGGGTCAGCAAAGGACAACCAGATTGTGGATGTTGCTGTGAAAAACAGCTGCTTTCCCGTTGACGACGTCATTGAGCTTATCAATGCAGACAAAACCTCTCTACACGGCATTGGGGACAAAGAGTTTGCAGTATCCAAATCCATCGTTGAATTGGCCACCAGCCAGCGTGCTTTCATTCAGAGATCTCATGAACAGTTCAATGCAGATCACAATTCAATTTGTGAAATGGTTCCAGATTTGAAGATTGATGAGCGAACCAGCTTGGACAATGGTTTTCTGTCTTGTGAACAGTTTCTGGGACGGTACTGCCGCAAAGATATTGGTGATATGTCAAAATTCCAAGGCAGTGTTGAGATGTTGCGAAACATTGTGAGGTTGGTGATGGCTCATAGGTCCGTGCGGAATGGCAAGACTTGGCACATGGGCTTTGACACCTATTGGCCAGCAATTCTGGTATTCCATGATTCCATCAAAGAACCTCTAGGATGGGTCGCATACAGGTTTTGCTTCAACCCATTGGAAGTTGACTTCATCCAATGTGATGTTACCTGCATTGAGTCCGAATCGGGTTGTGATTCTGAATCTCAACAGAGCTGGAGGCTGAAACTCAAATTCAGAGATGTTCCAAACTCCAACTTGAAGTTGCCTTGCTCTGACAGAATGCGAGAATTCGCTACTTGGTTTTCTCAACAGACTGGATCTGACTGGTGCTGCAAGTTGTATTTGCGCTATGATTTGGATCCTGGACCTCCCGTCTCTTTGATACTTCGACCACACCACCAAAGTGCAAGCTCAGCGATCAACTGTATGGCCTTCGAGAGCTTAGTTCACCAAGAAAAGGAAGCTTCAAAATCAGTCAAGAGGCCTAGAACTGTGACATCGGCATTGGATGAAAGTGATGATCAGGCAACATTGCTTTCTTGTTTGCAGCGGCTTGGAGTACAAAAGCAAAAGCAACGTCAGAGCCAGAGCTCAAACAAGCAGACTACAAAGCAAGTCAACCAGCTACCACTACCAGAGTCATCCCGCAAACAATCCGTTAGACCCTTGGCTTGTGCTGCACCAAACAAGGTTTGGTTTTGAACATAACTATAGTAGTATGTTTAAACAATTTCTAAAAATGTTTTCATAGGACTACAAATCCAGTTGATGCAATGTCATTGCCAAAGCTAAGACACAATTCTGCAAAATGACATTTATGTTATGTTTATGGTTGTTTAAACTAGTTTCCTAAGGAAGATCAACGCAGAGTCATGAACTTGGAGACCATGAGCCTGAAGATGACCTTATGCAGGAATGGATTGATGCTCACAATGCGCACATGACAGTACCCATTGGAGAGCCGCCTCCGTCTGTGTCCACAGCATCCTCAAGCCGCAGCAAGCCAGAACCCAGCGCCAGGAACATGAGGAAACCAACAGAATCTGAGAGCTCAAACAACGCAAACCCAAACTCGGCAGACATTCCGCCTGAAACATATATAGATCCAAATACGAACCGAGTGTATTCCAAAATGGCTTCTGGCAAAGTGATTCAGATTGGTTTCTAGACTGTGCTTTTGATTGAGTTTTGAATGCTATTTGTTTTCCAAATGTATGAATGAATAATGTGTTTCTTTTGTGTGGTTTCCTTGTAGCTCCTCAGGTAGGCTTACAGAGTTCAAGCAAGGGACAAGGTCACACTCCTTGAGCGTGACTTGCTATTTACACTCGAAATGCTCTGTTGTACGTCTCATGCGAGATCTGCCTCATTCATCCACATCACTTATCATTCAGTATCTGGAGGCTGGATTGAAAATTCCAAACAGAAAGGACGCCCACATACATACTCGAATGTTTTTCAGTCTGAATTCAACAACTTTTGGAGTTGTTGTTGTTGTTGTATTACAGACTATTGGCTCTAAAGCATTCTGATATCTTTTCAAGTTACAGAGCCTGTTCATATTTGTTGGGATCTAAGGTTCAAGGATATGGTCGCACACGACGCAGTCAGACTGAGGGAAAGCATTACATCTGGTAAGCCGCAAGCTGAGTAGGCAGAGTAGGCAAAAACAAAGGAATATTGTAATTGTAATTGTTTCAGACGTGAACATACAACAAGTCACAAGATAATATACTGATTCATATTCATATTCATATGACTTATATTTATATATATATGTGAATAAATATTGTATAAACAATGATATAACTACAGCACAGTTGACAAAATACATTGAGTATCTCTACATGTTTCTAATTCGATTAACATGTTTGGCCAGATTGTGGAAATGATAATACCGAGATATGTTAAACCACTTCATTGATAGCAATTCAATGTTGACAGGTCACAGTAGTGGTAGCTATTTAGCAGATGCTTCTGTTTTGTTCATTCAGGTTCAGGTCTGGCCATTCAAAATTCGAGCTTCACTGCTTAATCTGGGGGTATCAGATTTGCAGCCCGGAGTCATGTTTGGTGTGATTCCGGATGATCATAGCACTTCTTACTTAGTGAGTGCAAAAGAGTATTGATCGAAACCTCACGTTGCGATTGCTACACAGCTTTTCTGTTTCAACACTTATTGATTTTGCTTTTGTGCGCGTATCAAATGTAAGCTTGGCACAGCCAGTTCTACTCAAGTGATCAGCAGCCTTGACTTCGGTCAGAAGATACATCCTTCATGAACAAAATGGAGGATGCCAAGTCCGCAGCACCAGCACCTTCTCTTCCAGACATTCCATCAGGGTTCGTGACACCTGCTGGATACAAGACCAAAAGATGCAAGTATTGTCGGGCATACAGTTCCTCGAAGACTCCATTGCCGGCTGGTGTTTATCCTAGCTGGGATCCAATCATTCCGTGGTTTGCTGGAAAGCAACTGAATCCAAAAGGACTTGTATGCCGCATATGCTACACAGTCTTTGTCTTAGATTGGCTTTTTTGGATGTAGGTGAAGAGATCTACTGTATTGTGGTTGAATCTGTTTGCTTTTACCATGAATCAGGTCTTTGTCACGGGTGGATGGCAATCTGAATGTGATCCCAAAGATCTTCTTGGCTTGGACAAACTCTTTGCGGCCGAACCCACTCGCTTGCATCCGTTCCTAGCAATTGGGCTTTCATAGTGTACAGTGTTTTTTTCCACTGTATGTTTTCTTATTGTGCCGGGACATTGTACCATCCCTGTACCACCCCCCTGCACTCGTACCACCCCCCCCTGTACCATCTCCCTGTACCACTCGTACCATCCCCCCGTACCAACCCCCTGTACCACCCCCCCGTACCAACTTAAGACCCCCCCAAGGCCCCCCTAGTTTAATAAGGCCTAATATATGGAGGGGGGGCCTTGGGGGGTCTTAAGTTGGTACGGGGGGGTGGTACAGGGGGGTGGTACAGGGGTTTGGTACGGGGGGGTGGTACGAGTACAGGGGGGTGGTACAGGGGGATGGTACAGGGGTATGGTACAGGGGGGGTGGTATGAGTACAAAACATGGTACACCATGGTGCACCACATGTGACTCAGGCACAGCGCGCCAAGTATATCGATATGAAGAACACCAATCCAGCTTTGAGGATGAGAGCTGAGACACATTTGGGGCCGCGGACAGTGGTGAGTGTTCACAAGACATCTACAAGCACTTTGCAACGCCCAGAGTCCATGTTTGTGGAGTTGAAGACATTCCGCAAAGACTTTCCGGACAGGCAGGTGGAAGACTCTGAGATTGTTTGGGAGCAAATTGATGGACTTTGGACGGCTGGCGTGACTTCTTCTAAATGTGTTGAGTTGTTTTGCATGTTGCGCATTAGTTCTTTGGTATTTTCTGGCTAGTGTATTGACCTACTAGTGGTGATATTGATATTGCTAACATGAGCTCTAAGGTGAATGTGATGACTGGCAAAGCAGGATACTACCGTCGCAAGCAAGAGGAAAGCAAGACTGTGGAAAAGGCAGTGACCATTCATGAAGGTGAAGCCGAACTTGATGATCAGGCTGCATCCAACATGTTTGGAATGGCTATCAAACAAACACAACCACATACAGAATGTGCGTTCAATGCCAACGACTTGCCTTTCTTTAGAGCGAGGTGGAATGATGCTGCTGGGAATGTTGTCTTTGCAGAGAAATCTCTTCCAGTGCCAGTGGCCGCCAGCCAACGCGCGTTGGTAGCTGATGAGGGTTCGGCTGCACATGCTTCATCGTCTGATCCTTCCAACCTTCCTGGTCCGATGGCTAATGTTGCTGAAGTTGAACACGCCGATGAGGGTGATGACGAGGATGATGTCACCATGACAGGTGGTTCACTTTCCACGTTCTATGATTGGGCTCTTCCAAAGTCCAAAGCAGGAGCCAAAGCAAAAACAGCACCAAAGCCAAAGCCTGCGTCAGCCAAGCCAAAGGCGAAGGCAAAGGCCAAGACAGAAGATGATTCGACAAAAAACAGAAAACGCAAGACTGACTCCTTGGTGCAAGATTTGGAAAGTCTTGTCAAGGTGCCACGGTCGTCTGGCAGTGACACTAGCGCAGACAAGGCTATTGTAGACAGCTTTGCAAAGCCTCTCATGGATACACGCAAGACATTGTTCTTGTGTGAAACTGACACCGATGCAGCAATCACAGAATGCTTGAAGAATGCAGTGAAAAAGCTGACAACTTCGAATCAGCTTATCAAGGCAAAAATGAAGAGCTTGGGAAGGCGAACATCAAGTGAAACTGAGTGGGTCTTGTCTGAGCTTGACAACATTTCTGCTGAAGTTGGTGATGCGCAAAAGATTGCTCAGAGCCTTCTGGCCTGCTCTGGTGAAGATACAGACTTGGTTGACTCTATGAAGGATATGACATGTTGGCTGTTCTCCTATCCTTTGTACAAGCGTGCTTTGAAAGGAGCGGTCATTTCCAACATGAAGTTCTTGGACTGGCCAGCACTGACATCGTCCACCAGAACACGCATGCAAAGCCAACTTGGCACTGATGCGGGTGCAGATTTCTTTTGGCTCATGATCAATGAGGTGACCCAGAAGCTGCTAAGGGCAATTCCCACCAAGAAAGTACCTTGGATAAGTTTGTTGGAAAAATATGTATGGGTTGGATGGGTTTGTTTTGTTGTTTTGCAATTATGTAATGTGTGTCTATTTTTATTGATTTAATATCAAGTGAATAAGGTCAATGATGCTGATTCCATTTCACCAGTGGCTGGGTTCTTCGAGCATTTGCACAAAGAGACGGACCATTTGGAGAAGAGTGATGCTATCTCATCAACGATCAAGAGCCTTTTCAACATTCTTCATCCAGAGCAGACACTTCCGACTGAACTGATGAGTTCCGTTGACCATTTGCTGAAAACTTCCAAGTCAGAAAACAACCATGCTGAGGATGGAGGTCTTTCAGCTGTCTTTCTGAACATTGCATCAGGAAAGCAACTCGTGAGAAATGCAAGGGCCTGCGCAGAGAGTTCCACCAAAGACCTAGCATTTTTGGAGAAGGCCACCAAAGACTTTGAAGTTGTGCATGACTTGGTGAACAAAATTGACATGCCTGATGAGTTCACTTCAACTGATGCGATGACGGCGATTGGCTCTGGCCTTTCGGCAGTGGATTCCGTGGTGTCTGCCAACTCTGGCAGTGACGCAGCAAAGCAGTTTCTCGACTCTGCCAAGGATACACTGACGAAGCTTCTGCCAAAGATTGGTTCTACTATCATGTCGAATGAAGTTAATCCATGGCTGCAGCACATTCACAAGTGTGTGAAGGACAAACAATTTGAGGAACAGATCTCTCCCTTAGCAGAAATCAATGAATCCATTGTGAACCGCCTTGCAACACACAGCTGCTTGAAGAAATACGCATCTTTGTTGATCAGCGTCATGCACCTCATCAAATTGGCATCGTCTCTATTGGAGTTCTACCGAAGAAACCAGGCCAACAATGTGGACACAGAGGTGGCGGTGAAAACCATGAAAGCCATTGAGACCTTCTTGAGGGATCATCAGAGTCAGCTTGCAAAGTCCGACAACACATTGTCCACGGATGAGCTCAAGTCTTTGGTGACCACCATCACTGATCAGTCCCTTGACAAAGCATCCCAAGACATCAATGTGTGCATGAGTAAGGCAGCACAGCTATTTGTCAAGGCAGTTCCGCTTGCCAATGCTCATCTTGTCATTCCAGCAGACATCGCAGCTATGGCAAGTACCAAAGAGAAGGTTCTGCTGGTGGTAGCTCCGTTTTCCAAGTGTGTGCGTCTTTTGGAACTCAAGAACATTGTCATGATGTGCTATCATCTCTTTGTGGGCAGTCTCTCAGCAAACACTAATGATGACTAATGAAAAATCAGTCTATATTGTTCAACAATATACTTGTGATATTGTGGAGTCTTACTGTTATATTTTGGTGATGTTTTAGTTTAAGGCATCAAGTGCAAGCACGCTGCTGACAATCCGAATGAGCGGGCTTCACTTGCACCCTTTCTCACAGAGCTTTGGAGCATGAGGGATTTCTTTGCAGAGATGAAGTTGGACCATGCGGAGTTTCTCAGGAATGCTCACGCGCAACTATCTCAGGCTGATGGCGTCTTCAAGAATGCTTTTCCAATGGGATCTGACTTTGTCAACCCATACATTGACTTGCAGAGTACAGCAGAGACTCTGTGGAAAGGGCGCACAATGATGTACGATGAGAATGCCAAAAAGATCTCAGACAACCTGACATCGATTCTTAAGTCTTTGCCAGAAATCTCAATGACTGATCTTGCTGGATTTGTGAAAGCTTGTACGCCAAAGGAAAGGACACTTCTTGAATCATGTGATTCAGCAGCTGACATACAAGCATCTATTGACGCAGACTGCCAAGCATTTGGGTGCAAACCACATGATTTGTGTTCTGCTCTTCAGGAACCTTAGATCTGAAACAAACAATATGTTAACAAATTTGCAGTCTTCATGAGCCACAGTATGTCGTGCTACATTGATGTTTATGAAGACAGCCCAGGATGTGAAGACCGCCCACCACAGCGCTATGAGTATTTTGGCAGAGCTATCCTGTGCGATGTTGTTGAAGTCCACACATGCAAAAAAATTGCGTGAACAAGGCTGATCACCGATCTGGGTTTTGTTTTTTAATGTTCAGGATCCAGTTGCATTGAGATTTGCTCAGTTAGTAGCCTAGGTGGTCCTGCTTTTGATACATATGCACTAATGTTTTTTTCTTTCTACCTGATTGGACCTGGAGGTGTGGCTGCAACCAATGCAGACTTCAGAAAGGCTCTTCAAGGCATCATGGACAAGGCAAATGAACATGCCCTGACTATGAATCCAGAGGTTCAGGCGGCTGTCACTGAGCTGCTCCATGGGCGTGACTGACTCACTGACTGTAGCATGATATGTTATGGTTGGTTGAGTGCTGAGCGCTTGTGAGATCTCACATAACGTAGTTCCCAAAAGTCAAGGGCCACTTTGTCACTTTGTCATGCATGATGAGTAATGATCTTTCAGAGTCAATTGTTTTGCTAAAAGAACATTTAGGAGTTCAGGATTGTTCAGGCCCTTTAACACTCCTGTCAAACCAGAGGCGCATCCTTACTTGGCCAGTACAGAGAGCCTGCCAAAATAGTAGCACACATAATAATATTGTATAGCCATTGATAGTATCAAATAGTATCAGTCATGTTGTGCTGTTTTTTTTCTGTTGTGCAGTCAGGACAACCTATTCCTAAAGCACAGTTGTGTTGCGTTGTGTTGTTTTCTTCTTGGTGGGTTAGGCCCGGGGAAGTTTGTGATGCGACCTCGTTTCTCACTTTGAACGGGGTAAGTGAGAAGCATGTGACATGGAGATCACATCAAGGTGCAGCAATAACACGGATCACTGATCACAAACCATATATTTAGAGAAGAGTGGCTTGGAAACGAGAAGAAAACAAGCCAAATGCTTTGAGCAATGCTTTGTGATGCATAATGCAGTTCCAAGCATTGGAAATTATGATTCAGCACAATTCGCCATAAGTTGAGTTTTGTTTTGCTGAAGCTCTTTTTGTCTCGAAGTGTAATCACTTGGCATCACATCTTGGTGTTTGGCAACATGGCGCCAAAGAAAATCTTTCCACCAAAGGAAAAGAAAGCTCCAAAGCAGAAGGCCAAGCCCAAACCCCAGCCAAAGAGTATTCGTCCACCAAAGCCAGGCAAGCCAGCCAAGCAGCAGCAGGATGCAAACCCGTTTCAGCAATCACCAGATCACAACCAGCAGCGGATCTCTAATATGTTTACCAAGAACACGCCAGGGGTAAGCTCTGGCGTGAAGAGAGATACACCAGACTCTGACACCTCCCAAATGTCAGATGCCTTGCGCAACACAGTCAGGCGGGTTGAGAATCCTGCTGATTGTGCAGACGGCGACAGCTCTGTTCACCGCCAACACCAGGAAGAGACCATTGTTCCAAATGAGCCTGTGATGTCTGTACCATCCCCAGAGCAAGAAACAATTACTACGAACAGCAGCACCCCTGAGTCTGGCAGCATCACACCAGTCGATGCATCAAGAACAACGATGCCCGTAGCTAGCGGACCTGTAGATGCCAAAAAGACAGCGGTCAAAAGCAGCAGCAAACCAAAGATTAGCGAGCAGCCTTTAGCGGAACCAGAACATTCAAGTTCACAGACCGTGTCACAGACCCATGATGCCAGACCAAACCAGGTTCCTGAGGAACAGCCGACCCGGAAGGAGAACCTCGCAGAAACCATTTTGAGGTTTGAACACCTGATGCAGGCAGATGAGAAGTGGAAAGCTCATGTAGACTCTTTTGTTTGTGAGTTGTCTGATTCAGACTTTGATGCCATGCTTGAAGAAGCCCGCAACCACCCTATGATGCCTCGGCATTCTCGATGGATCATGTTGACTAACGGACTGACACCTGATGATTGGTCTTTTGGGGACGAGTCTGGCGACAGTCTGGAAGATCTTAAGAACTTCCTCTATGATGCAGTAGAGAAGATGTCAGACTCATCCGCAGCTCATTCCAGTTCCGTTATTTGGCTTAAGTATAGTTTCAGAGCAATCAACAATTCAATATGTATGTTACTTTTACGCAACTGTGTGCAGCTTGTGTTCAACAATTACTGTTTCAGCTTTAGGCTGCAGGCAAGACGTCGGAGTTCAAAGTGATCCCTGACAATCCCAGAGCTACAGACATGGGAGATCTCAGCATCTTGCAGTTGAAGCTATAACAAAATACTGCATACCTGCATACTACATAGTTACATAGTTTGTGTTTTATGTGTTGATTTGTTTTTGTTTGCAATTACTCAGGCAACCCTGGAAATGATGGTGAAGATGACGCCGCTTCTGATTCAACATCGCATCTTGATGATGTCGTTGGCTCTGACTCTATCATTGATCCAGATGATGTCCTCCTATCTGCTTCAAAGGCTCTTATATACTTATATAATCATATATAATATAATATCTAAAGATTTGCGACGCTGATGTGACCATGTCATTTGTGTTCTGTTCTTAGTGATGTTGTATATTGTATACTTCTTATTGCTATCACATGCTATCACTCCAGGCCATGGTGAGGAAAGCTCTGCAGATAAATGGAACGCGTGAGCGGCTCTCGAAATTGCCCAGTATTCTGCATTTTGATTCCACTTGCACTGGATCAGGGTGCTTTGAACTTGTAAGCAATGCTATTTGCACGGCCATTGAAAGCGAATTGTCTAACACGGGTTCTTTGACTGTTGCCAAGCTGAACAGAGGTGGAGTAAACGACAAATCAACATTGAATTCTGCGATGCTTTGTGTTTGTTTGCTTTGAGCTTCAGACACAACCTGAATTAACTTGCAGCAAGACTTGTTCAGTCAGGCTGTGCACCAAATGGCCTGTGAGAATGAAAAGGCCAAACAAACCTTTTTGATGGGATCCGTCTTGCGGGAGCCTGACACGTGTATATTTGCTGACGTTTCGGTCATTGATGATGATAAAGAACGCTTTTGTGTTCGCCATCAGGGACACTGTGTCACTAGCCAGATTTGGATGATGTATATTGTGCAAAATGATATGCGCTGCATGTTCATTGCACACGGCAGTGCGTTTTTTTTCCAAGGCTCTGCCATCATCAGACACAAGCTTTTGCTTTGGAAGTGGCTTTAGCTGTAAGTCATTGTCGAGACTGCAAAACACCGCTGCTTTCAGAAAGGCGCTTGCCAACCGGGTTGAGGACATCCTGTGCAGATTCAGAATCAACATTAAATTTTAAATGTATTGTTCTTTGAACTGATTTGTGACCAGTATTTTAGTCGTTTGGTGAAGATAGAATGAGCTGGTTGGTGTCCAGGAAGCTTCCAGCTTCAAGACATTTGCTGGGAACATCTCGCTGTTTGCCAAGACAAGTCCGTTGATCATCTTGCTCGAGAATGTTGATATGTCAGATTCAGAAGACTCCAATTGCTCTATGGCAAGTGAAGCTCTTTCCAACATTGGGTACGACACTCGTATCTCGTCTTTCTTGTTTGCAGCTATGTATGCATATTGTGTGCACACACACACACCGCAGTCTATATTCTAGAGTTGTTTCCACTACTGACCAATGCAATTGTCATGGACAACAATAAAGTGACACACGCACACGCCATACCATACCAGTGTGATCTTTGGGATTTGACTTCAATGAGGCATGCTTCTACTTAAAGCAGACCAATTCGGGCTACCTCAGAGGAGAACACGACTATTCATTTTGGGTGTTCACCGTGATCGGGCCAGCAATGAGTTGATGTCGGGAGCTGAAGATATTCTAGAGATGGCAGTCAAGACTTATCTTCCAGCGTTGCGCTTGTCCTGCCCCAGTGTTGAGCCTTGTCAATGGTGATGTTGGCAAATGTGTATAAACTAAACAGGTCAAAGAAACTACAATAACTATAACAAAACATAAATAAGAAGTTACTACTTATACACTAAGTCACTTTGTTTAGTGTCAGTTTACGCCTGATGGTTGATCTAGGATTCTTTTCTCCTAACGGACGACGACGCCACCGTGATTGCAGACCTAGACAGGCGAACAAAAAACAAGGAAGAGCGTGCTAGGCGTGCAAAGGAGAAACAGGAAGAAGATGAAACGGACGAGTTGGACATGAATTCAAAGGGTGACAAATGGAAGTCTCTTCATATGTCACTGGCTGAGCAACGTGCTTTACTTAGTTTGCTATGTCAGGATGTTACAGTCATTTGCAGATTTACAGTCATATAATAAATATACTACAATGTTAAGTTGAGAGTCGGAGTTGGTTTTGCTCTATGCCCTTGTGGGTTGTGTGTGCTCGAGTGCTCCAGTCGAGG